GGGGGTGGGGGTTTCGATGGGGTGTCTTCGTGGCTTTGTGGTCTGTATGATTAGGGCTTCTTATGGCTTCAACTTTGATGCCAATCCCCTCCTCTCTCTCTCTCTAACTCTCTCCTCATCTCATCAAAGACCGTATATTCAAAGGTTGGGTTTTTTCTTTTGTCGCAGAAGCTTTTTCCCGATGGAACCATCTACTCAAAGATTGGGTTTTTTCTTTCCCGCATAAGCTTTTTCTTGATGGAATTAATCGGATCTGGATTTGGATCTAGGTCCTATATACGGTTTTCGGATTCAGATCTGGATCCAAATATTTTGGATCCGATCAGATTCAGATCCAGATCCTGTATATATTTTTTGGATCCAGATCTGGATTTGGGTGGAACCGAACCCAATCCGAAAAATTCTCAACCCTATTCATTCTCATCCTTTTGAGAAGGTGCATAGTACTCTATCGCTATCTTGTAGTACTCTGTCCCTATCTCGTCAACAACCATTTAACTGTGCACCTTTCCCTTTCCAATCTCTTTAGATTGCTTCATCTCCTCCCTCATAAACACAGGCACATTAGGACAAGGCGATTAATACTGCCTGTCATAGGCTTACCACTATGGCCACACTAACAGCCTCATGTTACCCTTACTTGGCAGCTTCACCCCCTGCTGCCATGTTGAGTCCTCCCTCCTCTGTCTCCTACACCTACAGTCTACAAAATGCATGTTAAAGGCATCAACATGCAACTAACATTTTTATATTCACGATAATATGAATGCATTTTACAATAAAGAGTTGAAAATATTTGTAAAACAATAGAAGCACACTACACACACCCACGTACACACACAAAGAAAAAAGAAAAAAAAAGAACAGATAGCATTTTCCTACAATGATGATTAAAAAAAAAACATTTGACAATGCTAAGATAGAAAATATATAGAGCTTTTTTATTTTATGTTATTTTAAATTTTAAATGCATCAAAGCTTTTGAATAAGACTGATTTACTGATTTGATACCAGTTCTAAAATAGTCAGAGGACTCTAAATGAATAGAAGAACTATAATAAAATAGCAATTTGCTACGATTAATTTAAACGAAGAAAAATCATTAGCAGCAATAAGTCAAAAATCTATAAAAAAAACACTTTATATGAATAAAACCTCTAAAAAAAATTGACGTACTAGATTTTCTTGAGAGAAAATGCCACTTTTACGTAAATAAAATTGGAAACTATGTCATTGACATCATTATAACAAAAAAATACCAACATTATTTCTACGTATAATTTTATCTTTGAGTAAAACCTTCTCTGTATATCTCTAAAAAAATAACCTTCTTTGTATAAGAGAAATTGAAATATAAATTGAACATTATGCTTTGTTTTGATAGGTTGCAACAAAAATGCAACAATAACTAAAGTAATGCTAGATCTACTAAAATTATTAAAAAATAAGGCAAATCTATGAATTCAAAGTGAAAGACAAAAGAAATTTACCCAAAATTTTGAGCAAAGTTCTTGATTCCACTATCTTCTTGCTTAATGCAAATGAATATCTCCAGGTCTCTTGAAAGCTTCCTAAGATGACTCGAGGGAAACGCTAAACCGGTTTTGAGTTTGGTCTCCGGATCAAGGAGATCCAAGTTCTTGAAATCTCTGATGGATAGTAATCCAATTTTTGGTATCTCAAACTAATTTTATGTGTGTTTTTGTTAAACACAAGCATTTGGGTGGATGAAGATCCAAACATATCATATTTCATCAAAATTGGACCATCCATTGCGAAGAAATTGTGATTCTTTTATTTTAGATAACCGTTTTTTTTGTTGTTTCTTGTCCTTCGAATCTGTGTCTCTTTTCTCAAACCTAATGTTCCTAGTAGGCAGATCGCTAATAATATGTAAGCTCCTTTGTGTTTTGGGGGTTTCAGGCTCAGCATTCTGGCGAGTAACTTGGGTGGGTCCAATTTGGATGGTTTTTGTTGATCATTGTTTGTTGGGAGGCATTGAGGTCTGCTTGGAAGTGAAACACCCTCCATTTTATGAAAATTAAATGTGTTTTATTTGTTTTATACCACTTGGCATAACCTTGGAGTTTCTAGTTAGTTAGTTTCTCTATTTTCATCTTAATGCATAGGGCATCTAGTAGAAAGAAGCAAGCCAAACTTCCTAGTGAAGTTTGAAGTTTGGTGTGGTGTGCAAAAGCTTAAAAACCCTATGGTAAAGAAAAATGCATTTTCAATATTTTTTAGCTCTTTGGTGAATCCTTATTATGGTGAGAGTGTTCTATCTTCTTGTTGTCATGAGGCTTTCATATAATGCAGTCAGGGATTCTTCTGTTTTCTTCTGCATGCTTTGAGGGTGATTAAGTTCTATATCTGAGCTGTGTGGTTTATATTTCAAACTTTGCAACCTTCTTTCTATGAGTATTTGCTCCTTTGGAACTTTGTCATGACTTTGTAGGTAGGGGCGATTGAGTGGTGGGCAGGTGTGCATTTGTTTGTTCTGTTACGACTTCTCAGGCATTTGTTTTGTTGTTTCTGTGTCAGATTCACAGTCCAGCCACATATTTTCTGGTCCCATCTGATTGATTTTTGTGCACTGAGTGTCACCTGGTGGGTTCCTCCTTAAAACCCACCCTAACTTATCCAAGGTAAGGAATGAGGAGAAAATATTGTGGCAAGTGAATCAATGATTCCATGATTTTTTGGAATATGATGGAATTGTTCTTTTCAAGGAAGGGGTTATCATTGGCTGCTTTGCTTCCATCAAATGAAGCATCCTTTCCTGTACAGACTTGTCGTTTTGAGGGGGGATATGCCATAACACATCTCGCTGGAGACCCGTTTGAGGTCGTGTAGTAACGGTTCATTTCCCCATTTTGATTCTTAGAACTTCACGGCCTTTAAATATCTGGCTGACTTGAATCAACCAGGAATATCTAGGGAATGTCTGTGGTTCAAAGGTGAGCATGCGAAAACATGATTTTCTACTATAGTGGCTCAATATTTCCGTGGAGTGTTATTCCTGCCACTGAATCCTTCTCTTGTTGTAATTGTATATCGTGGCGTCTCTCACCTTTTTGTTTGCTATTGATGGATGTGAGAAAACCATTGTCTGATTCACGGAATGACATTAATAAAAAGGCACCAAGGAACTTTGTGACTTGATGTTAATGACTCCTTGGTTAGTCTTTTGATGTTAATGACTCCTTGGTTAGTCTTTCTTATTGGATTGATCATTGTGCTCTTTCTTCTATCAAGCACAGTTTTTTTTTTTGAGAAGTGTTAACATTTATAAATTGTTCTATCAAGCACAGTTAAATTTTAGAATTCTTTAAAATCCATAGAACTCCTTTTTCCCTTCATAAGAGAAAGATATGTGTTGATGAACATTGCTTTGTCCTGTTTAGTATTTCCCTAGTTGACAATCTTCATCAAAATGACACTTATGTCATGAGGGTATTAATAGAGTATATGCTTAAATAAGTTTTTGGTATAAGAAGTTGCACGGAGTTTTTCTCAGAACTTGTTGCTTCTACTGTAGTAATCTCTGGAGGACAACTTCTGAAGAGAAGAGGGAACTTGAGCATCTGGAGAAACCCATGTATAACTCAGTTCGGCAAGCTGCTGAAGTTCATCGGCAGGTTTGGTTCTTAGACACCCCATAAATATTTTACATGCAAATATTAGTTTGGTCATCTCTCTTGGGAACTCTGTTTCTTCAAAGATGAACATTGGCAGATTTTTGCACACAAAATCAGCAGCATGTTTCCCTCCATGACTATCGAAAACCTGGCCAAGAAATATGGTCGAGAAAATTGATGAAACGAGTGAAAACAAAAATTAATTTATAAGAGAATCATACAAGTGCATAAACATGGAACTATGAAAGAAAATGGGAAATCCATAGAAATTCTTCACTTTGTAGAAAGGAAACCCCAAACATCTGTGAGTTCAAAATCAAGTTAATGGTGGAGATTTTAGTAGTAAGCAACAAAATCTCAGTTGTAGCAAAAGGTCAGTAGCCCACAATTGTCAGTCTCACAAAGGAAAGAGGGACAAGATGATCCACAAATAATTGATATTTCATGAGATATTCTTAAGAAAGAAAAAGATCTATTTTTTTTTTATTTTCTAGAGAAGAAAATCATAAAATATGATGTAGAAGCAAACAAAAATTAACCCGACAATGCAAATTGGGACATGTTGTAAACGAGTCATTATTTTGTGGTCGTGCTGCAGAAAAATAATATGCCACTTGGAAAGCTTGACAATTTAAAATACAATAAATTTGGGTCCTTCATTTTCATTTGTTTATAGTTTTATCTTTTTTTTGTAAGTGTAGACGAAGTTCAAATGAAGAAATGATGTAAAATGAATATTACTTTTGGTAGAGCAAGCCGGAATATAAAAAATGGATGTAGAGCTCAAAGGCCAAGCCAAGATGTAAAACAAACATGATTAAAAGAAATTACATTTCAACCAAAAAAAAAAAAGCTCAAAAGGAAATCATGTTAGATCTGAATCTCAAAACAAAATTGGTTTTTGCACTTGGAAGCATCATAGCATTTTATTTTCTCGCACATGGGGATAGTAATTAAGTAGAAAGATTACATTGCAACATATGATAAATGCAACCAAGGGACAGAGTCCAGAAAAAGAGAGGGAGACAAATTGCATCCCCTACCTCTCATCGGCTATTTAAGTGTTGGTCCCATTCAAGTATGCATTAAAGATTGCTCGAAAGATGTTTACAAGCAACCCTGAACTCTCCTTTAATTTAAGAAGCATCACTCCAATTGAGAATCCAAATGGGCAGAATTGCAATACTTGATATCAGGTGCAATGCTTCATTAGTCAAAGGATCGTCAACCGACATGAGTTACAAGGTCAGGAAGATTACTATGGACTGCTCCTATGTCTAGGCAAACTCAAGAAAAAACTTTACATTACAGTCCTCAAGAAGCCCAGGAAAGGCTTAGGCAACAGAAGAATGTGTCTCTTTGTGATGCAAACCACTTCCATAAGGCATAAGCATCCAACTTTTCAGCCGCATGTTCATTTGATGTGATCCAAAACTCACTTCTAAGATCTTTTCAGGGGCTAAAACAATTGTTTTTATTTTTTCCATAATCGATTGTCTTGGGCTTTAAATCTCAGCTAAAAGCATAGTGGAAAAATGATTACTGAATTTTAGGTTTAATAAGGGCTTGTTTGGATGTATACGTTATCACTGGTAATTCATTGTTTCAAAAAAATTGATCCTGAAAATGAATTTTCTATTGTTTGGTGGTGTCCCTCATAAAAGTCATCATGTCCCTCATGAAATACATCATCATCATTAGAGCCTTTTCCCAACTATTTGGGTCGGCTACACAAATCATGTGTCTCCATTCTGCTATATCAAAGGCCATACTCTCAGTAAGACCATAAGCGCTTATGGTGGACACCCTAGCATGAGCAGATAATATAGATTCAGGATTCATGAAAAGTTGTGGCAAAGTTTTGAGTCGGGTGCCCACCTAACACAATCCTTTTCCTTTACCTGGGCTTGGGACCTCATAAAATTATATGAGATAAAACTTACAGGCAGTTTTAGGAATACGTTTACCTTTCTGAATTTTTTTTTTTACTTTATTCAAAGTAATTTACTGAGAATCACTGTTTTTAACCAGAAATAACTAAAAAAGCAAAAAATTAAGTAATTAAATTACATTACATATAATCCACAATATGAACCAAATAGCTAACAAAAATAATATTATGCAAATAAGATAGTCCACTCCAATAAGAAAGTTTGATCCTAATAAGATTAACTGTCATCCAAAAAGGTCCCATGGGTTTTAGTTTCTTCAGAAGTCTAAATCTACCGTACAATGTGATACCCATCAGATTAGAACATACTTTCTTTATTTGTTATGAGTTTCCAATTAACTAGGTATAGATATTTACCAGATTTTATTTCTATAAGGTTTTTTCTAATTATGTCATGCTTACCTTTTTTTATTAGGACTGATGTTCAAGTAAGCAAATGACTTGAAGCCAAAATTTGGTAGGATTAGAGGACATACCCCAGACAAGTTCCTGGCATAACACAAACTTTGTTTCTCGTTAACTGGTTGTCCTCGTCCTCCTCTTCATCATCATCATCATCATAGCCTTTTCCCAACTATTTGGGGTCAACTTCATTAATACTTTGACTTTTGACTTTGAATGATCTCAATGGAATTTGATAGGCGGACTTTTTCTATTTTGTTACTATGATTAGGTTCGGAAATATATCAGAAGTATTGTAAAGCCAGGGATTTTAATGATTGACCTATGTGAAAAGTTGGAAGACATGGTTCGGAAACTAATTTCAGAGAATGGTCTCCAAGCAGGCATTGCTTTTCCAACTGGATGCTCATTGAACTGGTAAATGCTCTTACCTGAAGGAGTTGCCTTTATCATCATTTAGTTCTTGTGATTAAAATGCATGTTTTGATTGACCTTGTATTAATAGGGTTGCAGCACACTGGACCCCAAATTCTGGAGATAAAACTGTACTTCAATATGATGATGTCATGAAGCTTGATTTTGGAACACACATTGATGGTACTACCTATACAAGTTTTATTTTAGTCACTTCCAAGAGTAATGCAGGATATTTGCAATAATTACTTCATTGTATGCAGTTGATAACTTTCTTGGATGCTAAGATGAACTATATCCCCATAGGATACTTTTATTGCAACTTTATTAAGTTCACTTTTTCGTTCTTTTTCATTTATTATGTAACCCGCATGGTATTCTGCAGGACGCATAGTTGATTGTGCTTTTACTGTGGCATTTAACCCCATGTTTGCGCCACTTCTTGAGGCAGCAAAAGAGGCCACAAACACTGGCATTAAGGTATATGTTTCTTTATTTCCTTGCTTGTATAGTAAATGATCTCATTTTTCTTCTTTGGCATGTGCAGATTAATGATAAGGTTGTTAGTAAAGATGGAATTATAGCATATTTCAAAAAAAAAGAAGAAGGAATTATAGCACGTTATTGTCTTTCTGCCATTGCTGATTTTTTTTGTTAATTAACGTTTTTTTATTGTTTTTTACTTTTTATTTGTGTGAATGTTGTATCATTGTTATTTTTTCTATAGATATTAGCAAATTTTGGTGTTTCGAAACTAAATTTTATTTCAAGATATAAACCACTAATGCTGATGTGTTAGCCTGCAAGCTATCTTTGAACCCATTTGGGAGGTCCAACTCATACAAACTGATCAGATGCCTGAATCTTGGCTGTTAAAAAGTAGCTTGTGTCACAAAACTAATGTTGCAGACACTTCCTTATCATCCTCTATTGTTGATTTAGCATCAATGACTACTGTTGAAATGCATGGCAAAAAGTGAAGGGGAATTGTCACTTCCCACTAGGCTTTTGTCTAAACATGAAAGTGTAAAAGGCAATGGAGGAATTTAATGCTGGGCAAGATATTCTAGAAAACTTATTTCCCTAGACTATATATCTTAGCTACAGACTAAAACCCCTCGCTCTCTGTCTTATGGATTATTTGGGGGTCAAATTGTTTGGACACCAAGGTTCAGGAGGAATATTCGGAATTCAAAAATCTCTGAACTGGGGGCTTTATTTGATCTTCTTAAGTCTCACTTCGTTCCATGAGGGGGAAGGGATGAAATGTTTTGGCTCCCAGCTCTGTAATTATTTGCTGGGTGTCCTCCATCTACAACGCTTTGAAACCAAACGACAGTACTTCTGTCACAGCAAATGGGGCCCATCTTCTTAAATTGATTGGTCATCTCCCAGAAATCCCTCATTAGACTGGATTCAGAGGAGGGGTTCATTTAACCAATCGATGTCCTACAAATAGTTTGAGGAAACTATAGACTACTTGTTTGTTCACCACCCTATAGCAGCTCAGTTTTGGTCTTTCATCGTTCACCTTTGTGTGGGTGTGAAATACACCCAGAGCTGTGCAACATAATTTCTTATTCTTGGTCTATTTCTCCCCTTACCCATCTGTGGTCGTTACTATCCTGAGTTTCTATTTTGGCTATGACTTGGGCCATTTGGTTGGAGCACAATGGGTGCATTTTCGAGAATAGGGAATCTCAGCTAGGTGCTATGCAAGAGAATATCATATCCATTGTCACTTGTTGTACCCCAAAAGCAAAGGTCTTCTCAGTGTTTTTGACTGCAGACTTTGTTCAAAGCTGGAGTCTCATTCTCTGGATGGGGCTGATGATTATTGCAAATCCAACATCTGTTTCGCGCCTCTTGGGCCATGAAACTCAATTTTGATGGCTGCTCCTTGGAAGCCCAGGTCTAATCAGGGCATTTTTGGAAATAGTTTCGCTGATTTGTTGCTATCCTTTTCGGGTCTCATAGGCATGACAAATTCCACTTTGGCAAAGCATAATCACCATTGGAAGATCTTAAATTGGTGGAAGAGGACTTAAAGAATGTCATTGGTTGCACCACAAGATTTGCTCCCTTACCCTCAACATTTGGAGCCAATCTTCGACCAAATTTTTAAGATTAGTAGTGCATTGCCAGTCTCATTAAGTACTCTTGATGTGAGTTAAATGCAGAAGAGGATCCCTGTGTGCAGTGATAGAAAATTTGGCCCCCTACCACCTAGGGGCCAACTTCCACCAAATAGGCCCAAGGGGGGGCCCTATTTGGTTTTGCTCTTAGGCCCCCTTTGGCCGCTTAGGAATCCAGATGATATACCTTGGCCAGGGGTGGAAAAAGGCCCTTGGCCAAGGGGGCAAAAAAGGAAAGGTTAAACCACCCCACCTTGTCCTTTCCCCTCCTTCCTTTTCTTATAGAAGCAAAGAACGAGGAGCGGGAGGAAGGGAAGTGTTTTGTGTGGCATTCTAAAGCCCATTTGTGTTGTTTTGGAGCTTGAAAAAACAACCGCCTACGAACTGGAACAAAATCTACAGTCTATACCCTCGCCTCTCCCCAGGCTCCTCCTCCTCTGCCATAGCTCCCTCCGCTCCTCTTCCTATTCCCTTTCATCCCCCCCCCCCCCTCGAGCTATACCGGTCTCTTTGGCCTCGCTTACCTGTTCCATCTCTTCCCCTCCTACCTTCACCCAGACGGTACTTTCCAAACCTTCTTCGCTCTCTCTAATTGCTGAGAACGTCCTGCACCATTGAACGCCTTCCTCTCCCCCTTTGCCCCGCCCCTCTAACCACCTTCTCGTCATTTCCAACCCAGTCGAGATATCTGAGCCGCTTATTGTCAATCTTCGTCGCTCTTTGATGGGCTCTTTCCGTCCTAGAAGGGATGACTTCAGGGCTATCGAACGATGGGGTCAGTGTTTATGGGGGGACTTAGACCTATGATGCCACCGACTGTCCGATGGATTGTTGTTGTTCACCTTTCCTTCTGAAGACAACGACTTTGGGCTCTCCATTCAGAGTCTCCGCCCATCTTCAAGGGGGCGCAACTCAAGCTTTGCAAATGGTCTCCGGAGGAAGGTTCTTTTAGAAAGCAAAGGATCTGGCTTACAACCACTCATATCCCCTTACACTCCTGGTCCCCTCGACTTTCAGATGGATAGTCGACGGCTGCAGTGACCTAGTGGAGATTCATTGGAAGTCTCTCGAGTTCCTCCCTTTGGGTTCTATCCGTCTTCTCCTGGAAACTATGGACCCCCCGCCTCATTCCTCCTTTGCTCTAGTTGGAGGTGGATGGCTCTTTTTTCTGCATCCGGGTATCCTGGTCCTCGGCTTCTTCATACCTCTCCCTAAGCCGCTCGTTATACCGCACATAAACCAAATCATTCAACTTTTTCTGCTCCAACCTATTTCTTTTATTTGTATGGAGCTGTGGTAGAACTTTGAAATTAGATAAATTAGATTTTAGATTAGAAAATTGAAATTCAAGAAATAAGGATCAAAGAATAAGGAGTAAAGGACTTACATGCTCAAATGCACTCTAATTGCGCTCACAACCAGATGAGCTACATGTGAGATTCAACACTCGAATAGCATGACGTTGTAGATTTGGTGTCTCGCTTCCATATAATGCCTACCATGCAGCTGTATAATATTTTATAATTTAGAATATAGTTAAAAATTAAGGGTATAGAATAAACAATGGAACTATACATAAAGTAAGAGACAAGTAAGATTATTTTTTGGCTTTTGGCCTTTACCTGGATCTGTAATGTCCTATTTTGAGTGTCAATATCTCTCCCAAAGTTTCCCAAGGCTAACTTGAACTTAATCAATTCATGGCTCTGGATCTCATCCTGGATGTCTTTGTCTGGCACCAACCTCTCCAACACATCTAAGAACCCACCATTTATTACGCGATCTGACTCAATGGATGAGTGCTTGTAGTGAAGAGATGGGTTTAGAAAGTAACCGGCTGAATGGAGGTGCCTGTGAAGCTGGATATCCCATCTCCTATCAATAATTTCAAGTATAGCCTTGCGCATATTTTCATCATCCTTTAAAACATCTTTTATTTCAGTTCTTACCCTAGTCATTGCCTCATGTATGTAGCCCATGGCAGGCTTCGCATCACCATCAACCAGTCGAAGCACTCTCACTAAAGGGCGAGCCACCTCGAATGCAAGAATTATTTGACTCCAAAAAGATGTATTCAGCATAATTTTTTCAGCCTTTCTCCCATCCTTATGCTTTGACCATTTGCGTTGACTCCATTGCTCTGAAGCAAACATGGTCCTCAAGGCACTTTTTTGCTTGGCTAGGCTTCGAAGAGTGAGAAATGACGTGGCAAATCTAGTGATACCCGGTCTCACTAATTCTCTCTTCTTTGTAAAAGACTTCATCATGCTTAGGACTATTGTGTTATTGTAGATAGATCCAACAACAAACATAGCTCTTGAAATCACCCTACTAAATAAAGATGTTGTACCCATTTCCTTAAGCATAAGATTAACACAGTGAGCTGCGCAAGGAGTCCAAAACATATGCTTCCTTTTCAAAGTCAAGAAATGCCCAGCTGCAGCATAGTTGGCACCATTGTCAGTGATAATTTGTACCACATTTTGCTCCCCAACAAAATCAACAATCTCATCCATCAAGCCACATAAGTATGTACCATCATGTGACTTGTCTAATGCATCAATAGACTTAACAAAAAAAGTACTTGTTGGGCAGTTAACGAAAAAACCCTTGATTTCCCATCGGACCAACTATCACACATAATAGTGGCCCCATATTTCTCCCACCCTTATCTCTGAGAAATCAAAATTCTATTCACATCAAATATATCATCGTTCAACAAGGGCTCCTTAACCTCATGTAGTGAAGGAGGAATAAGTCCTAGGCCATATTGCCAATTGCTTGGACCATACATGCAAAACTTTCTAGAGTTATAGTATTAAAAGGAATGCCGGCCATGTAAATCCACTTTGCAATCCACTTACATACCGACTTCCTTTGTTCTTTCTTATATTTATTTTCAATTGTGGTTTGTTTTGTTTTTTCTTTTTTCGGGGCTTGGGGTGAAAAAAGAATCCATTGGCCCCCTTAAAGAGAGGTGTTCTTCTCTCAGTACTACCACCAATATTTATAACCCTCTATCTTGAGGTTGGAGTATGAGTACCCCTTTGCCTCATAGCAACTTCAGACATATCATCATCATCATCATCAAATAATGGCATGTCATCAAGTAATTCCTTTTTTTTTTTCTCTTTATCTTTTTTCAATCTATCCAAATATTCTCTAATCTCCTTTTTTATATCATCTGTAGCTTGTGGGCGTGCTCTTACATTCTCAGAAATTCCGGCTAAATGCTCTTTTTGTCGAAAAATACCACCCATATAAGTATTTCCACAGAGCAAGCATACCACACAATTTCTATCTTTCGGATTTTTTAGTTTAGCATATTTCCAAGCCGGATCCTTG